TAGCAGAGAGAACAGTCTATGACTAGGGTGGCTGGAGTCTGATAATTTTTAGGGCCATCCTCTGACACCGCCTGGTATAGAGGTCCTGGGTGGCAGGAAGCTTGGCCCGAGTGATGTACTGGGCCGTACGCACTACCCTATGTAGTGCCTTGCGGTCAGAGGCCTAGCAGTTGCCATACCAGGCAGTGATGCAACCAGTCAGGATGCTCTCGATGGTGCAGCTGTATAACTTTTTGAGGATCTGAGGACCCATGCCAAATCTTTTCAGTCTCCTGAGCGGGAATAGGCTTTGTCGTGCCCTCTTCACAACTGTCTTGGTCTGTTTGGACCATGATAGTTTGTTGGTGATGTGGACACCAATGAACTTGAAGCTCTCAACCGGTTCCACTACAGCCCCGTCGATGAGAATGGGGGCGTGCTCAGTCCTCTTTTTTTCCCTGTAGTCCACAATCATCTCCATTGTCATTAACAACTAAAATGGTTGCTGTAATAGTGCTATGCCCAGTCCTAAACCCTGATTGGTTTACATTCAAAATACATTTCTCAGATAAAAAAGATTAAAGTTGTAAATTTACCAAGGATTCAAGAATCTTAGCTAGACAAAGAAGCCTTGAAATGGGGCAATAATTATTAAGATCACTACTATCCCCGCCCTTATGGAGTGGCAGCACATCAGGAATATTTCCTGATAACAATGTTAAATAAAAAAATGTGGTTATTCAGCCAACAGTGATGGGCGCTGCACACTTAAGCAGACCGGGATCCAAATGGTCGGCCCCTGTGGATTATTTTGTTGTCTATTGCTAGCAAAGCATCAAGGACTTATTTTTCTGTAAATAGCCAAAATGAAAAGCTTTGACTGTCATTTCTGTGATCATTCAGCAAGTTTCCCCTATCAGCATCCAGCCCAATATCATTGTGAATATGCTTAGGAGTTCTTTCACAAAGAGAGAGCCCGCTGAAAAAAATGGTGATTAAATGCATCAATGATGGCATTCTTTTCCATTAATGAGGCCAGTGCCTCATTAATTTGTTGTGGCAGAGAGGAAGAAGTAGAACCCTTCAGGGATATGACAGTTTTCCAGAATTTAGCCGGGTTCCCATTACAATCCTAAAGAGCGGTTACATAATAATCCGATTGATCCTTTCTGATTTGTCTTACCCAATGATTTTTCAGTTGCTTGAAATTGAATTTTAAAACAGAATGCCATATTCATTCAACTCAGTTTCAAATCATGAAATACAAGTTCAATTTATGAATTCAATGATTACATTTGTGCTTTACAACTTAAAAAATGTCAAATTCAATATCGTAATTCAAAATGATAAAATTCTAATACAATTTCTGTTAGCACTGAAATTGCTCCATACATATGGTTTATCTACTAGAAACTCATGGAATATATAGACACAGATATAATAAATTAATACTATATATGAATACATATATTTTTTAAAGTTATTCAAATCTAAATAGACCAACATTATGATCAATTGCCATAGACTTTCTGTTATTTACTTTGCTAAATTAGCGGGAGCTTTGCAACCCTAGCTGTGATGTTGTCCTCCCACTTGAGGTTGTGGGAGATGATGGTCCCCAGGAATTTAAATGACTCAGCCATACTTACAGCTGAACCGTTGATTTCAAGGGGGAGAGGTGGTGAGGGACTCTTCCTGAAGTCAATCACCATCTTCAAGGTTTTGAGTGTTCAACTCCAGGTTATTGTGACTGCACCAGGCCACCATCCGGTCAACTTCTAACCGGTACATGAATTCATCACCGTTGGAGATAAGACCGACCAGGGTGATGTCATCTGCAGACTTTGAGTAGCTTGACAGACATGTCGTTGGAGGTGCAGTCGTTGGTGTAGACGAGAGGGGAGAGCACGCAACCCTGCGGCGCTCCCATGCTGAGGGACAGAGTGCGAGAGGTGTTTCCCCAGCTTGACGTATTGTGTCCTGTTGGTCAGGAAGTCGGTGATCCACCGACAGATGGTGTCAGATACGTTCAGCTGGGTAAGTTTGTCCTGCAGCAGCTCTGGGATGATGGTGTTGAACGCAGAACTGAAGTCCACAAACAGTATCCTTGCGTATGTCCTTGGGTTGTCAAGGTGCTGAAGGATGTAGTGGAGACCAGTGGCAAACCGTGACTATAGGACCTAGGCCTTCAGAGGAACCAGAAATCTTCCAATACATTGTATCAAACTCAAAAATCAAGAAAATAACAAAACATAGCATCACTTAATGCGACATATCTTCTGTTGTCGGACCACACTAGTTCTAGTGAAGGAGGAGCAATGCTTTTCGATTACATTTATGAATGAATCAAACAGGCCTGGCTGCGCTTCGGGCTGCCGCGCACACAGAGACAAAATGGCATGGACACGTGACACACACAGCATAAAATAATGTGACCAGCAAAACAAAAAACACACTGTTTACACAACCTATGGTAGCCTAATGCCACTATTACCAATAGCGACAACAACAGTGTCACATCAAAGGTGACAGGCTCGTGGCACTGAAAGGACAGCGACCGTAATACCTGTGCACTCCATGGCGCTGAAGGAGAGCCAGTTTTGGTGAAACACATAGACACGACTGATAGACAGGCAACAGCAATCAAACACAGCATCAAATAATGTTAAAGAATAAGCAGCCCATTCACTCCAGAAGGCACCATGAAATCATAACAAGACAAAAGCACAACCATTTAATTTCCTAAATGAAATTAACAAACCAGCTATTACACTGAACAAAAATATAAACACAACATGGAAAGTGTTGGTCCCATGTTTCATCAGCTGAAATAAAACATCCCAGAAATGTTCCATATGCACAAAAAACGTATTTCTCTCAAATTTTGTGCACAAATTTCTTTCTATCCCAGTTAGTGAGCATTTCTACTTTGCCAAGATAATCCATCCACCTGACAGGTGTGGCATATCAAGAAACTGATTAAACAACATGATCATTACACAGGTGCACCTTGTGCTGGAGACAATAAAAGGTCACTTTATAATGTGCAGTTTTGTCACACAACACAATGCCACAGATGTGTCAAGTTTTGAGGGAGCGTGAAATTGGCACGCTGACTGCAGGAATGTCCAACAGAGCTGTTGCCAGAGAATTGAATGCAAATTTCTCGACCATAAGCTGCCTCCAATGTCATTTTAGAGAGTTTGGCAGCACGTCCAACCAGTCTCATAACCGCAGACCACATATAACCACGCCAGCCCAGGACCTCCACATCCGACTTCTTCATCTGTGGGATTGTCTGAGGGTGGGTGCTGAGTAGTATTTATGTCTGTAATAAAGCCCTTTTGTGGGGAAAAACTCATTCTGATTGGCTGGGCCTGGCTCCCCAGTGGGTGGCCTGGCTCCGAAGTGGGTGGGCCTATGCCCTCCCAGGCCCAACCATGGCTGCACCCCTGCCCAGTCATGTGAAATCCATAGATTAGGGCCTAATGAATTTATTTCAATTGACTGATTTCGTTATATGAACTGTAACTCAGTAAAATTGTTGCATGTTGCGTTTATATTTTTGCTCAGTATACTTACCATTGCAAAAAAATAAATATCATCACACTAACCTATGATCTATAGTTTCAACGTAACAATGTTTGTCATTATTTTCAAAGAGATAGCTAAACGGCCCCACCCATTGCAAGTCAAAATGTGATTGATTCATTCCACTGTCATTCCAAAATTCTGCTCTAATACAGTTGAATGGCAGAGGCCTTCTGTCCATCTTCTGAAGGCCTAGTCAATGGCTGACTTAGCTAGCTATATGTTTCTAACCAGAGACCACCAAACAAAAACATGATTGGATATTTTTTTCTCTTCAGCATTAACCTTTCTCTTTCCAACACAAACTGAAGAGATGAAATCAGAAGATCATTAAAATTATTGTAAAGAGGAAAGAGAAATTAAAAATGATTTTAATTTCATTGGAGACCAATGTTGACAGTGTTGTCCACAGACCTGTTGGCTCTGTAGGCGAACTGCAGGGGGTCAAGGAGGGCATCTGTGATGGTTTTGAGGTGGGATAGGATAAGGCGCTCAAATAGGATAGGGTGGATTTATAGCCTAGTATCAGTCTAATTGAGGTGTAGAAAATAGAACATCACGCATTCGAGTGTTTGAACTTGTTAACGCGGCTGCATGAACTTCTAACACGGCTCCATGGGATTTGTCAGATTATACATTCAGGTGGTTTCTTGTATCCAATGGCAGTGTTCGCGATAAGCTAACGCAAGGAGCTGCTTGTGGATTTGACAGTTCTAACGCAGTTCCACTTCCGACACATGTGGTGGATATTTTAATCAATAATGAGGAGAGACAAGGTCAATCACCAATCAGAATATTAACTTTATTAAAAACGTATCGATAAGGGAGCTGGTCACACCACCCACAGAGTGAGTAGAGTGAGAGCCCAACGAACAGGAAATGCTGACATCTTATATAGTGGACCTAAAAATGCTTAGTCATGGCTGGTTCCACCCCTCCCCGGCAGATCAGGAGCTACCTTGTTTTCTTCTTGTGGCTATTTGTATTGGGTCATAGCGCACAAACAAGTGAAAACGTTAGCTCCGTTACTGCCCATATCTCCACACAGCTGTGGAAAGGATGAACTGAAAAACTGTGGTCATTCTGAGGCTCTTTGTCTTGACCGTGTGACCAGATTACTCAGAAGCAAAGAGAAATTGAAACAATACAGGTCTATCTGTTCCTCAAGTTTATCTCTATCCCATGTCCTTGACTACACGCCCAGACCAGCTGCAGGGAGCTAGAGGGAACCATCCTTATGAAAAGCACAGCATTGGTAGTTAAGAAATGTCTCTACTATTGTTAAGCATATTCATTGTTAACTATTAATATTAAACAAATCAGGTAAATATGTGATTTTTGTCCCACACACCGACAAAACAACCACTATGCGGGTGTCGGCTAGTGCGGATCTGATAGAATCTAGCCCTTTTATTTTGTTTTGTTCTCAGGGATGAACTCTCCAGACTTTGACAACCAGACACTGGCAGCGCTGAGAGGCCGGATGGTTCGCTACCTTATGAGGTCACGAGAGGTGAGCAGCTCATTTCAGATTTACCAGTTAACTGAATTTACAGTACAGACTGTCCAATACCAAATTATATTAGCACCATAGTAAGATGACTGTGGAGCAGGTTAATTATACGGAAATGTATGCTTACAAAATATGAAAACATATGCACACTTGACTGTAAATTGCTTTGGACTGCTAAATGCCCTATATTTTATTAAGCTAATCTGACTGTTCCTCTAGATCACCCTGGGCAGAGCCACCAAGGACAAGCAGATAGATGTGGATCTGTCTCTGGAAGGACCTGCATGGAAGATCTCCAGGAAACAAGGTGACTCACTTACTACATCACCTGCAGCACCATGACATGGTCCTCATTTAACACTGGTTGTGTCTGAAATGGTACCCTATGGGGTGGCCCTATGAGCCCTGGTCAAAAATAGTGCACTATGTAAGGAATAGAATGCCATTTCAGACGCACCCCCTATCTGCATTACCTGGGTCTGAAGCTGAAGAACCTGTATTATCTGGACTCTAGAGGGCAGTGCTTGCCTTGTCCTCACGTCACCTTAGTGAAATTATACCCTGTTAAAATATTTTTTATTTTTAATTTTTTATTAAAATGTGACTGTTTTCTGCTAAACGTCGATCATGTAGTAATATTATTAGGACTTAATCTAGTTTGTCATTGTGTGTTTATAACTGGTAATAATGTACAGGGATCATTAAACTGAAGAACAACGGGGACTTCTTCATAGCCAACGAAGGCCGCAGGCCCATCTACATAGACGGCAGACCAGTCTTGTCTGGCTACAAGTGGAAACTCAACAACAACTCTGTGGTGGAGGTGTGTGGAGGGTTCTGGACAACTTAAATGGCAGGGGATATGATAGGGGAGCTGGTGCAAGAAGATTGAGATTGATAAATCTGTTAAAATTGGCAAAAGGTATTTTTCATAAACAACAACAGCCACCTCTTATAATACATGAACCTCACAACAAGTTGTTTGTCTCTCCAGATTGCAGGTCTTCGTTTTGTGTTCCTGATCAACCAGGAGCTGATCTCACTCATCAAGGCAGAAGCAGCTAAGATGAACCAGCAGTGAGAGAGAGAGAGCCGTGCTGCCTCAGTGGAGGAGAGAGACTGGAGCAGAGGCCAAGTCACATGCCTGTGTCTACTGCACAGCCAGCTCCTCCATACAGAGCAACGTACAGTGGCCTCCAGTGGACACACTGTACACCACCAGGAGCCTAGTAGACGAGGTCCACATGAAGGAGCACAGACTTGAATGAAAGGAACCCAGAACCCTTTTGGTCATGGTTATACAGCGGAGTAAGAGCAGGGGACACCCACACACACACACACTGAGAATGGTGATATTTGGTTACATCTCATACCTTTCCACTGCTGGACATTTTAGGGGGAATCCCATCTCAAAGACACTCAATTATACTTTCCTTGTAACTACAGGACCATAATAACACCAGTTTAGTCTTGTTTTAAAGTTTAAATTGGCATTCATATCATGAGGTTCCACACTGCCTATAAGACAATGAATTGGTTTTAATTCTGTGTTTCCTTTTTTCCCCCCATACAGATTGATTTAGGTTGAGCTGGTACATGCAAAGATGCATTTAGGACCAGGATAGGGTATCACTTGTAAAAGTGATATTGTGTATGTATGTATCTATGTTAGTGCTACTTAAGCCAAAGCCATGTAAATGTGACAGTTTGTTAGATTTTTGTATGAAAGCTTGGATTAAACTGTCATTAGTTGAATGTCCTTCCTTTGTGGAGCCGTTTCTTAAGTGGCATCATAATAGCATGTAAATGTAGGGTTTTTGTTCTACCACAAGGTAGAGCTGTTGGATAATTAATCGGTTCAAAATGGCAGTTTTAGTTTTTTTGCAACTCTTCAGTCTTGATACTGAAGCACAAATTATTACAGAGTATCTTTGATGTTATTAATATCTGAGAGTTAAGCTGTCAATGGAAAAACAGAAATTCTACTCCATAATTTGGCCGATAAGTGTAGACATGGCATCAACAGAACCTCAGAGTCCCACGAGCAGGTGTAGTGCTTGTCAGACTACAGTACATCTCAGCAGAGCTATTTTCTTGCAACATAGTAGAAAGTTGATCATTAATTTCCAGAATCAGAGATACCGCAGTCCTGTTTTAATAGGATGCAATATCAAAGAATATCAGATAGGTGGATATGCAGATTTTCTAGAAGTGTGAAAGACAGTCTATTGAAAGATAATATATTAATGTTAACACTCACAAAAAAAATGTAAATTTTAACACTTGTAGTAGCAGTTAATACATTTATAAATAGTTTTATGAATTCCATAAACCCTCTGATCTTATGCTTTCTCCTCATTGTGGAACTTTCTGTTAAACTTAAATCAAACAAGTTCTGTGTTATCCTGGGTGCCAGTCTGTAGTGATGGGCATTGAGTCTTTTTGGTTAGCCGGATCATTTTGGCTCCGTTCAACTAAAAGAGACATTCATTTGTCTAAATACGGATCTTCGTTTAGAAATCTTTCCCCACTATGTTATTCATGCAGTGAGGATTTACCATCTTCAGAGAATGTTTTTATAATTTATCTGCAGATAATTGATATCTGGAGCTCAAAAACCAGTAGTTAGCACTATGGGGGAATGGCGATGGGCTGGTCCTTTTGTAGGCCAGTGGGACTGTCTTAACTAGTTTCTTCCCCCACAGTATTTTCATTATCTGGCAAGTAATGGGGGCCTCAAGGAAAATAATGGAGTAGGCAAGAGTGCAAACAGATCTGGGACCAGGCTAGTTCTGTGTCTTTTGAGGAAATAATTGGTCGTTTTGCATACTTTTTATTCCTTTAGGGAAGTGGCCCCCAAGACCTGCCCCCATGTTGTTACAAACAAGAAAATAACATCCCCGCTTTTTTCATTGTTTTGCTCATTAGGCCTATGTATGAAATGAATGAAAAGGAGAGCAAGAAATGTAAAACAAAGTGGTATCTGATAAAATGTGGATGTTGGATATTTAAATTCATCAGCATCACAGGAATTGGATTAACAAAATAAGTTTGCTTTGTGTTCTACCATTTGATTTGGGGATGTGGTTATTTTTGTGCTGACTTACCTAGTTAACCCTACTTGGCCAATTTCTGCTAGCGAGTATCCAACAATGAGCGAGTTCGTTTAACATTGCCAGGTGCCCTGGGTAGGCTGATGTTGCATATTTTAGACCATTCTCCTCCACCGACCCGGTGCACCGGGGAATGCAAAACGAACTCGCCCACTGACAACAACCTACGTACACAACCGGCTAGTGGAGGAGAGCTCGAGCCTCGAGTACTTGACAGCAGTGCATCTGGAATAATAAAACATACACTATATTAAAGTTTAGGTGAGTAACAGTTAATGTCGCTTGCTCTTTAAGATATTAATTTGTCGTTTCTATTCAATTATTGGAATGCAAGAACACTAGCCACACCTTGAAATACTATTGAGTGGCTTGTTTATGACATGGTCCTGGCATGGCTAACTGGTAAATCCACATGCTAGCTAATGCTAAAATAATGTAGCTAGCTTGCTGCTGGGAGCAGCTATGAAACAAGCCACATTACGATACCCTCTATGACATTTTATCAGGTCTTTGCCATCCATCCGACTTTCTGATAATGCAGGCACATCAAAGGTAAGGTTAGCTAATGAAATAATGAGTATTTCTAAATCAATTGAACCATTGATGCCATTCGAAATAAAGGTAAGAGGGAATTCGTGCTGTAGCTAATAATGTTTTGATTACTTAAGAAGAAAAAATTACATTATATATATATGTATATATATATATATAAAAAGGTCATTTAACACAACATATATAAATGAGCATTATTTATATAAATGAGCTTTATTAAAGCTCATTTATATATATATATATATATATATATATAAAGCTCATGTATATATGTTGTGGAGGGTTGCATAAAAAGTAAGATATTGTAGCGAACGGCAGGCCAAGAAATCGAACCCCGGGTCGCTGGTGTGAAAGGCAACGCACGGGTCAATAGTGACGTCACTTGGTAGGAATTAGAGCACTGCTGACGCTACACTGTCCCTTCCAAACGGGAAGGCACGTCCCCGTGCTTCGTATACTTAGCCCCCCTCACAAGTCCGGGCCGTGCGTTCCGATGGCCTCACAGCCGTCATCCCACTTTTGACACGAACGGCAAGGCATCGAACCCGGGTCGCTGGCATGAAAGTCAAACACCCGAGTTGCGTCAATAGGGTTAACCCTCTTGGTGGGAATTGTACCGTGGCTCAAATAGAAGGATAGCTATAATACCATTTCAGTGTCCAGGATTTGTTAGTCTGTGTGTTTCTATGTATCAAGCCAGGATGCTGTGTTTAACGTATATTTGACTTTTGACTAAAAACCTACTTAAAGGGTGTTTACCACGAGTGCCTCAATTTGCATGAAAATAAGTAAATGCACTCTTTCAGTGTCCAGGATGTTTGTTTCCAGGAAGGAAGCCCCAGGATGCTGCGTTTAAACTGTTATCACGATCAGTCTTAGGTAGATTTATGATGGACAATAAACCACTTAAAACAGTTGATTAATCACAGACCTTTCACTCTTCTGATAGTGTAGGGTGATTCTCATGAAACCCGTTTTAACCATGGCAGTAGCAAATGGAGTTACATTTTAAATTTTTAAATTTTAGTCATTTAGCAGACGCTCTTATCCAGAGCGACTTACAGTTAGTGAGTGCATACATTTTTTCATACTGGCCCCCCGTGGGAATCGAAGCCACAACCCTGGCATTGCAAGCGCCATGCTCTACCAACCGAGCTACAGAGGAGGCCACGTCCCTGAGTTACACTGAACTAAAATATGAACGCAACATGCAACAATTTCAAAGATTTTAATGAGTTACAGTTCATATAAGGAAATCAGTCAACTTAAATAAATTAAATAGGCCCTAATCTATGGATTTCATGTGATTGGGAATACAGATATGCATCTGTTGGTCACAGATACCTTTAAAAAAAGGGTAAGGGCATGGATCAGAAAACCAGTCAGTATCTGGTGTGACCACCATTTATTTGCCTCATGCAGCGTGACACATCTTCACATAGAGTTGATCAGTCTGTTTATTGTGACCTGTGGAATGCTGTCCCACTCCTCTTCAATGGCTGTGCGAAGTTGCTGGATATTGGCGGGAACTGGAACACGCTATCGTATACAGAGCATCCCAAACATGCGACATGTCTGGTGAGTATGTAAGCCATGGAAGAACTGGGACATTTTCAGCTTCCAGGAGTTGTGTAGAGATCCTTGCGACATGGGGCCGTGCATTATCATGCTGAAACATGAGGCGATGGCGGCGGATGAATGGCATGACAATGGGCCTCAGGATCTCGTCATGTTATCTCTGTGCATTCAAATTGCCATCAATAAATGCAATTGTGTTCGTTGGCCGTAGTTTATGCCTGCCCATACCATAACCCCACCGACACCATGGGGCACTCTGTTCACAACTTTGACATCAGCAAACCGCTCGCTCACACAATGCCATACATGCTGTCTGCCATGTACAGTTGAAACTGGGATTCATCCGTGAAGAGCACACGTCTCCAGCGTGCCAATGGCCATCGAAGGTGAGCATTTGCCCACTGAAGTCGGTTTCGACGACAAACTGCAGTCAGGTCAAGACCCTGGTGAGGACGATGAGCATGTAGATTAGCTTCCCTGAGACAGTTTTTGCAGAAATTATTCAGTTGTGCAAACCCACAGTTTCATCAGCTGTCTTTATTTAACTAGGCAAGTCAGTTAAGAACAAATTCTTATTTACAATGACGGCCTACACCGGCCAAACCCGGACAACGCTGGGCCAATTGTGCGCCGCCCTATGGGACTCCCAATCACAGCCGGTTGTGATACAGCCTGGAATCGAACCAGGGGGTCTGTAGTGACGCCTCAAGAACTGAGATGCAGTGCCTTAGACCGCTGCGCCACTCGGGAGCCCTGGCTGGTCTCAGACGATTCCGCAGGTGAATAAGCCGTTGGTGGCAGCTTATGGTAGAGAAATTAACATTCAATTATCTGGCAACAGCTCTGGTGGACATTCCTGCAGTCAGCATACCAATTGCACGCTCCCTCAACTTGAGAGATCTGTGGCATTTTGTTGTGTGACAAAACTGCACATTTTAGAGTGATCTTTTATTGTCCTCAGCACAAGGTGCACCTGTGTAATGATCGTGCTGTTTAATCAGCTTCTTGATATGCCACACCTGTCAGGTGGATGGATTATCTTGGCAAAGGAGAAATGCTCACTAATGGTTGTAAACAAATGTGTGCACTAAATTTGAGAGAAATAAGCTTTTTGTGCAAATGGAAAGTTTCTGGGATCTTTTATTTCAGCTCATGAAACATGGGACCAACACTTTACATGTTGCATTTATTATTTTGTTCAGTATACTTCCATATAGATGGGTTAGCTGAAAACGTCAAGAAAACAATGCACACGCTTCAATGGGGCAGAAGTCAGTTGTGATTCTGGATGGCCAGATGTCCTTAAAAAAGTTTTCTAATTTGTCTTTGTATGCAGCCTTGAACTCCCTTCATTTTGCTTTTGTCTTTGAATATTTTTCCTTTCCTCTTTACTGCCACCTGATTTTAAACACTTTTTTTCTTATTGAGAAGCTCTTTTAATTCCCGAGTCACCCACGGTTTATTATTGGGAATAACGAGATCCTCACAGAAACAGATGTACTCCGAGACAGTATCCACTGCCTCTTCCAGGTCGTCGGCGCTGTCCGTCAGGGCCGCCCAGTCAGTGGACTCTCTTCCAGGTCGTCGGCGCTGTCCGTCAGGGCCGCCCAGTCAGTGGACTCTCTTCCAGGTCGTCGGCGCTGTCCGTCAGGGCCGCCCAGTCAGTGGACTCTCTTCCAGGTCGTCGGCGCTGTCCGTCAGGGCCGCCCAGTCAGTGGACTCTCTTCCAGGTCGTCGGCGCTGTCCGTCAGGGCCGCCCAGTCAGTGGACTCTCTTCCAGGTCGTCGGCGCTGTCCGTCAGGGCCGCCCAGTCAGTGGACTCTCTTCCAGGTCGTCGGCGCTGTCCGTCAGGGCCGCCCAGTCAGTGGACTCTCTTCCAGGTCGTCGGCGCTGTCCGTCAGGGCCGCCCAGTCAGTGGACTCTCTTCCAGGTCGTCGGCGCTGTCCGTCAGGGCCGCCCAGTCAGTGGACTCTCTTCCAGGTCGTCGGCGCTGTCCGTCAGGGCCGCCCAGTCAGTGGACTCTCTTCCAGGTCGTCGGCGCTGTCCGTCAGGGCCGCCCAGTCAGTGGACTCTCTTCCAGGTCGTCGGCGCTGTCCGTCAGGGCCGCCCAGGGGACTCCCAGCAGTCAGTGGACTCTCTTCCAGGTCGTCGGCGCTGTCCGTCAGGGCCGCCCAGTCAGTGGACTCTCTTCCAGGTCGTCGGCGCTGTCCGTCAGGGCCGCCCAGTCAGTGGACTCTCTTCCAGGTCGTCGGCGCTGTCCGTCAGGGCCGCCCAGTCAGTGGACTCTCTTCCAGGTCGTCGGCGCTGTCCGTCAGGGCCGCCCAGTCAGTGGACTCTCTTCCAGGTCGTCGGCGCTGTCCGTCAGGGCCGCCCAGTCAGTGGACTCTCTTCCAGGTCGTCGGCGCTGTCCGTCAGGGCCGCCCAGTCAGTGGACTCTCTTCCAGGTCGTCGGCGCTGTCCGTCAGGGCCGCCCAGTCAGTGGACTCTCTTCCAGGTCGTCGGCGCTGTCCGTCAGGGCCGCCCAGTCAGTGGACTCTCTTCCAGGTCGTCGGCGCTGTCCGTCAGGGCCGCCCAGTCAGTGGACTCTCTTCCAGGTCGTCGGCGCTGTCCGTCAGGGCCGCCCAGTCAGTGGACTCTCTTCCAGGTCGTCGGCGCTGTCCGTCAGGGCCGCCCAGTCAGTGGACTCTCTTCCAGGTCGTCGGCGCTGTCCGTCAGGGCCGCCCAGTCAGTGGACTCTCTTCCAGGTCGTCGGCGCTGTCCGTCAGGGCCGCCCAGTCAGTGGACTCTCTTCCAGGTCGTCGGCGCTGTCCGTCAGGGCCGCCCAGTCAGTGGACTCTCTTCCAGGTCGTCGGCGCTGTCCGTCAGGGCCGCCCAGTCAGTGGACTCTCTTCCAGGTCGTCGGCGCTGTCCGTCAGGGCCGCCCAGTCAGGGGACTCTCTTCCAGGTCGTCGGCGCTGTCCGTCAGGGCCGCCCAGTCAGTGGACTTGAAACAGTCCTGGAGGGCTTCAGTAGCTTCAGGAGTCCAGCTGTTAATCTCCACCTATTTAGCCTTCTCTCGCTGCAGTCACGGTTTGTAGACTGGGATGAGCCCAACCATGTTATGAGCCAAATCCCCGAGATTGGGTAGTACCTTGGAGGAATACGCACCTGGGATGTTACCATAACAGAGGTCCAGACAGGCTTCATTTCGGATAGGACATGTAACATATTGCTGGTATGATGGTAAATGTTCAGATTGACTGCACATTTTAAAGTCTCCCATGATCAGCTTTACTGCTTCAGCTGACTGTCCCAGCATGGGAAACAAGGTCATGGATCAGGTCGGCAGCTGTTTGGGTGTCAGCGGAAGGGGGCTATTTAAATAATAAACAGTCAGACTTGATTTATTTCCTGTGGCAGGTAGTATGGCAGTAGGTTAAGAGCAAGGAGTTCAATATGTTTAGTACAGACCTGGTGCTTCGTTGTGATATGGGCTGAATTGCAGTATTTCTCATTGATGAACTCACTTTCCTCTTACCGGAGTTGATGTTTTGGTCCATTCTAAAGATTGTGTAGCCGTCCAGCTCCACTGCAGAGACGGTTTCCTGTTCCGTAAGCCAGGTCTCAGACAGATCAGGCAGGATTGTCGGTACTCGGAAAGGTATTGGGTACAAGGCTGTAGCTCGTCGGCTTGGGCGGTATACTGTTTACCGGGGTATTTGGAAATAGCCACAGGATGGTTTTTCAATACCGTTTTAAACTATGTTTTTGAAGTTTTTCAATCAATATTCATATTTACTTTTTAAGTAAATACCTGCAGTCAACTTGTGCAATACGTTAGGAGGTAAAGCAGATTGCGTTCTTCATTTCACCTGTCACATTATTTTACATTATGAAACTTATCGTAGTTCCCCAGAACAGTTGAGCCAGTCAAGTGTTTGTTTGTAAATAGCAGAAGAAAGCGGGAGCAGGTGAGTCCAGCTGTGTATTGACAATATTTGCGTTTTATATTGAAAGTCAAATGTTTTTTTTGCTTCAATAGAGTTATCAGGGACGTGCAACTATAGTTTTCCTTCACAGAAAATACATTAGTGCAACACATTCGGCAGAAAATAGCTTCATTGTCATGAGATGACAACAGAAGTGCAACACTATTTGGCTGGCGGCCACACAAGTAAATGAGCTTACAATGAAAAAGCAAGGTATTTCTTTGCAAAAAACGATGCATGGCCACCATATTTCTAATGTTATCATAGAAAGATTGTAACCAGTGACAGTTCCTAATGTTTTGCTTTAAGTTAATCTTGTGTTTTACCTGAGAAAATTAGGCTGGCTACACCAAGAAAAGTACTGGAGAAAAGTAGCTACACATCATTCAGAGCGCTGTCTTTTGATAGAATGCCTGTTCGTGAATTCTCATCCGAGTGGAGAAGTGCAACTAAGCCTCCAAATGATTTTGATGCTGAGCAGAAATTACAATAAGAAGCATTTTAGATTTACATTGACGAAACGCTGCAAGATATTTCATATGCGTTGTATCTTTTTTTCCTGCGTGAAAAAATACGAATTTTGCATTAGGGCGACCCCTAAGTTTAACTTGCTAGTTATCTAATTAAGTGGCGGAATAATGAAGTCACGGGGGATCATATTGTGTTCGCTTTCTGCTGTGTTTGAGAAGTAAAAGCCCTTTGGATGGGTTATCTGTACAGCTGCCGCTGCTGCCTGATTTCCTTGCATTTTTTCTCCTATCCGTTCTGCCCCATCTGCTCCTCCCTTATCTTCTCCAAGCAGAGCAGGCAGCCCCGCGACCCCCAGACTCCACACAGACACAGTGTGTACACAGTACTGTTCTTCCTTCAGACAAGCATATATCAAAACTTTGTTGATTTGCACAATGTTTCTCGTTCACATTCGCTTGTAAATGTCAAAATTCACCAAAAATGACATTCGGTAGCGCCTACCTATGTATAACTTTATGAGCTGGATTGCCTGTCTTTGCAATTTAGTTTATTTTCGTTTGCTCTCGTTAGCATATTTAGCTAGCAGCATCCATGGAAATTTGCTATTACTTGTACTAATTTTGTTAGCATTCTGGTAATAGAAGGCCAATTGACTTTTTTGGGGTGCTTTTTGGCACCCCCTTGTGTACTAAACCAGTAATACCGTAAATTCTGGTGTGAGGATATGAAAATCTGGATACCGCCCAACACTACTCGTCAGTCTTATTCTTTATGATTTGTGCATTGCCTTGCACAATAGATGGAAGACGTTTTCTGAAGGGCTGTTTTTTAATCCGATTCCGAATTCCTCCTCTACTGCCACTCTTCTTTTCTTTAGATGCCTTTTCTTGGGAACATGTTGATTGTATTGATTGTAATATTCCATTGTAGCCTAAGCTTGCAGCAAAGGGTCGGAGATTAAGCAGGACGTCTCTTGTGTATGATATCCGCGGTTGCGGCTCGCTATATCTATTGATGGTTAGGTCTACAGCTTGTTTGGTGCATTTCACATTTATTTATTTTTTACAACTAACAGCAAAAGTACTGCTATTTGCCTCATTATTAGCTATCTGATTTCATACCAAACTTGGTTGATTGAGGTGGATCGCAACTTTAAACAAACAAACAAGCACGAAAACGACGAGCACAAATGACCGTGTCACTGCAAGAGGTCCTCTGTAGCTCAGCTGGTAGAGCACGGCGCTTGTAACGCCAAGGTAGTGGGTTCGATCCCCGGGACCACCCATACACAAAAAAATGTATGCACGCATGACTGTAAGTCGCTTTGGATAAAAGCGTCTGCTAAATGGCTTATTATTATTAAGAGCAGCCCCCATACATAATATAATGTTTTATAAACATGGAAGGATCTTACAGATTGCATTCGCTCACTGTTTTGCTGCTCCCAAACTTGATCTTTTAATAAAGCTTTGGTAATTCATATTTATTTAAAGCAGTCTCACGAACCAAATCCTTTATTGATAGTCTGCTATTTGGGAATGCATTGGGCATGACAAAAAAAACAGGCTTCGCTGAAATGAAAAACAAGCAATCTGTGTTATTGTTAAGACCTGCTTTTGGTTGGTCTTAAAACTTTAGCGCTGCATGAAATTGTCACTTTTGTGCATGTTTTTAAGGACACACCTCAAATATTGCCACCCCTCCCACCTCAGCACAAGCGGGCTGATGTGAGACAGGTAAACCTGGCATTAGGGATGGAAAATGCCAGTGCCAGTGGTTTTACATGACGAAATTGTCCTCGATGTTCAATTTCACACACAGCTTGGATACAACCATGATTACAGATACAGATTTCAGGTACAGATCTACTATGTTATAATATCTGACAGTACAGTAGGGTCAGCATTTCTCACGAGGCAGTGGACTGTGTTAAACATAATGACATCCAGGTTTTTACGGGTCTATGAAATGGGTATGTTTAAATGAGATGTTCATGTTAGGGGGACGTGTGTATTTGTGCTTCTTGTTTATTAATTGTACTTCTTTCCCCTTAGACTACCAACACCAATGCAATGTTGCTCCTCAGACACTGCCGAGGCCTAACCAGAGTAGGCCTTCTCAAGACTCAAAGGTAAAGTATTTAAAAAAACACTACTGTCACCTGTCACACAGGTAGTCATAAAATAAGCTGCATTTGTTACCTTTGAGCATAAAGGTAATGTCAAAGTTATAAAAAATATATCACTAAAGGCATGGCCATTCTGGCAGACCTGGCATTTGCCTTGTCTCCTTATTGCTATAGTCCACTTTAATGGCCTGTTTGGCCTGTTAATGTCTTGCCTAGTCAAAGGTCTGAGTCAGTCAGAACAGCCACTAAAAGATCTTACATGTCTCCAAAAAACAAGCAGGTTATACACCAGCCACCCAGGGCTGTCAGCCAGCAAAGTGCAACGCAAGGCCACTATGTCTTGACTGACTTAAAGGAATAATTTTCATTACAGCTAACTGCGTCCGAAATGTTGCTCTATTCCCTAGCTATGTGCATTCAGAAAGTATTCAGACCCCTTGACTTTTTCCACATTTTGTTACGTTATAGCCTTATTCTAAAATTGATTAAATAGTTTTTTTCCCTCATCGGTCTACACACAATACCCCATAATGACAAAGCAAAAAAACGTTTTTTATAAATTTTAGCAAATGTATAATTTTTTTAATCACATTTACATAAGTCTTCAGACCCTTTACTCAGTACTTTGTTGAAGCACCTTTGGCAGCGATTACAGCCTCGAGTCCTCTTGGGTATGACGCTAAAAGCTTGGCACACCAATATTTGAGGAGTTTCTCCCATTCTTCTCTGCAGATCCTCTCAAGCTCTGTCAGGTTGTATGGGGAGCATCGCTGCACAGCTATTTTTAGGTCTCTCCAGAGATGTTCGATCGGGTTCAAGTCCTGGCTCTGGCTGGCCACTCAAGGACATTCAGAGACTTGTCCTGAAGCCACTCCTGCGTTGTCTTGGCTGTGTGCTTAGGGTCGTTGTCCTGTTGGAAGGTGAACCTTCGCCCCAGTCTGAGGACCTGAGCGCTCTGGAGCAGGTTTTCATCAAGGATCTCTCTGTACTTTGCTACGTTCATTTTTCCCTTGATCCTGACTAGTCTCCCAGTCCCTGCCGCTGAAAAACATCCCGACAGCATGATGCTGCCACCACCATGCTTCACCGTAGGGATGGTGCCAGGTTTCCTCCAGATGTGACGCTTAGCATTCAGGCCAAAGAGTTCAATCTTGGTTTCATCAGACCAGAGAATCTTGTTTCTCATAGTCTGAGAGTCCAAACTTCTTCCATTATAGAATGATGGAGGCCGCTGTGTTCTTGGGGACCTTCAATGCTGCAGAAAGTTTTTGGTACCCTTCCCCAGATCTGTGCCTCGACACCATCCTGTCTCTGAGCTCTAAGGACAAGTCCTTCGACCTCATGGCTTGGCTTTTGCTCTGACATGCACTGTCAACTCTGGGACCTTTTATAGACAGGTGTGTGCCTTTCCAAATCATGTCCAATCTATTGAATTTACCACAGGTGGACTCCAATCAAGTTGTAGAAACATCTCAAGGATGATCAATGGAAACAGGATGCACCTGAGCTCAATTTCGAGTCTCATAGCAAAGGGTCTGAAACTTACAGTTGAAGTCGGAAGTTTACATACACCTTAGCCAAATACATTTAAAATCAGTTTTTCCACAATTCCTGACATTTAATCCTAGTAAAAATTCCCTGTCTTAGGTCAGTTAGGATCACCACTTTATTTTAAGAATGTGAAATGTCAGAATAATAGTAGTGAGAATGATTTATTTCAGCTTTTATTTATTTCATCGCATTCAAAGTGGGTCAGAAGTTTACATACACTCAATTAGTATTTGGTAGCATTGCCTTTAAATTGTTTCACTTGGGTCAAACGTTTCGGGTAGCCTTCCACAAGCTTCCCACAATAAATTGGGTGAATTTTGGCCCATTCCACCTGACAGAGCTGGTGTAACTGAGTCAGGTTTGTAGGCCTCCTTGCTCGCAAACGCTTTTTCAGTTCTGCCCACAAATGTTCTATAGGATTGAGGTGAGGGCTTTGTGATGGCCACTCCAATACCTTGACTTTGTTGTCCTTAAGCCATTTTGCCACAACTTTGGAGGTATGCTTGGGGTCATTGTCCATTTGGAAGACCCATTTGCGACCAAACTTTAACTTCCTGACTGATGTCTTGAGATGTTGCTTCAATATATCCACATAATTTTCCTTCCTCATGATGCCATCTATTTTGTGAAGTGCACCAGTCCATCCTGCAGCAAAGCACCCCCAAAGCATGATGCTGCCACCCCCGTGCTTCACGGTTGGGATGGTGTTCTTCGGCTTGCAAGCAGTTTTGGAGCAGTGGCTTCTTCCTTGCTGAGCGGCCTTTCAGGTTATGTCGATATTGGACTCGTTTTACTGTGGATATATTTACTTTGTACCTGTTTCCTCCAGCATCTTCACAAGGTCCTTTGAAGTTGTTCTGGGATTGATTTGCACTTTTCTCACCAAAGTACGTTAATCTCTAGGAGACAGAACGCGTCTCCTTCCTGAGCAGTATGATGGCTGCGTGGTCCCATGGTGTTTATACTTGCGTACTATTGTTTGTACAGATGAAAGTGGTACCTTCAGGCATTTGGAAATTGCTCCCAAGGATGAACCAGACTTGTGGAGGTAAAAATTGTTTTCTTCTGAGGTCTTGGCTGATTTCTTTTGATTTTCCCATGATGTCAAGCAAAGAGGCACTGAGTTTGAAGGTAGGCCTTGAAATACATCCACAGGTACACCTACAATTGACTCAAATGATGTCAATTAGCCTATCAGAAGCTTCTAAAGCCATGACATCATTTTCTGGAATTTTCCAAGCTGTTTAAAGGCACAGTCAACTTAGTGTATGTAAACTTCTGACCCACTGTAATTGTGATACAGTGAATTATAAGTGAAATAATCTGTCTGTAAACAATTGTTGGAAAAATTACTTGTCATGCACAAAGTAGATGTCCTAACCGACTTGCCAAAACTATAGTTTGTTAACAAGACATTTGTGGAGTGGTTGAAAAAACAGGTTTTAATGACTCTAACCTAAGTGTATGTAAACATCTGACTTCAACTGTATGTAAATAAGGTATTTCTATAATTCTGTATTTTTTTTTGTGCTAAAAATTCTAGAAACCTGTTTTTGCTTTGTCATTATGGGGTATTGTATGTAGATTGATGAGGGGGAAAAAACGATTTAATCAATTTTAGAATAAGGCTGTAACGTGACATTGTGGAAAAAGTCAAGGGGTCTGAATACTTTCCGAATGCACTGTACATAGTGCACTACTTTTGACCAGGACCCAAAGTAAAAAGTGATCAAAAGTAGTGCACTAAATAGGTATGCGGCCCTAGTGTCAGCTGCTGGGTTAATGATTTCCAAGCAGGAGCAGAGATAATCAATTACCTCCTTATCAAACAAGCTTCTGAAATACAGATTTGTCTCTCCCCCTTTATTTGTTTAGTCTTATTGCCTTGTTGAAATGAACTGTAATCAGTTTGCCTGACCTCTAACATTTTTAAGGAGTGGAGTCTCCTAGGAGAGGCCTTTGTCTGGGTTATCAGGTGAAATCTGGACCATAGAAACCATTTTAACATTTTCACAAGTCAATTAAGTCTAATGGGCCCAAACCTTTTCATGAATAGAAAAAGCTTTTGTCAGTTGCATAGTTACTGCCTACCATAACTTCTCTTTTGTATGGACATGGGTGTAACTAACTGTAACATGAATGCATTCAGTACATGAGTAAACTGCTAGGTGTGTCTCAAATGACTCCCTATATAGTGCACTTATTTTGGCCAGAGCCCAGAGCCATTTGGGACACACCCCCAGTGTTTGTCTGATTGTGACACTGGTCTGTGTGTCTCCTACAGGGTGCAGTTGTTGCAGGGTGCGGTCCCTCCTGTGGCAGTGTGTGCGGGCAGCCTCTGTGCACGCTGGGGCAGCAGTCATGGGGGGCAGGAGTCAGGGCAGTACCAGCGCAGCCATGGCCCCAACTGGAGACACGCCCTGGCAGGGCTGCTGGCTGGGACAGGGGCTGTACTGGCCTATGGCCTCCACCACAGCCAGGTGAGAGGGACAGTCTACATGCTAAGAGCTGGTGTGATGGAAGTTGTGGTGCATTTATGCTATGATACTGTTAGAGAAATGTATCCTACAATATGGGCATTTAACAACATTTATAGTTTTTCAAGGTGTTATTTTGTTCAATACAATTCATTTTGTTACATGTTTTGTAGCATGAATAATGTCAAAAATTAACCATTTGTTTTTGACATTAATCATGCTACAAAACATGTAACAAAACGTTGTTTCTACTCTTTTTTTCCCTGTAGCTGATATTTGGCTGTTATTTGTCTTGTCTCCAGACTGAGCAGGCAGCCACCACTATAGTCCAGCCCATAGCCCCAGCCTCCTCTCTGCCCATCTACACCCAGGACGAGGTCACCAAGCACCGCTCCGTTGAGGAGGGCGTCTGGGTCACCTACAAGGGCAGCGTCTATGACATCACAGAGTTTGTGTCCATGCACCCTGGCGGTGATAAGATCCTGCTAGCAGCAGGTGGGGCTCTGGAGCCCTTCTGGGCGCTGTACGCCGTTCACAGGCAAGACCATGTGCTGGAGATCCTGTCAGAGTATAAGGTGGGCGAGCTGTGTGGTTTAGTTATCTGGTCTGTGCAAGTGTAAATAATTATAATGTTGCTACGACAGCATATATTCCCATAACCAATTCTTATTATGAAACCTTTGTTGCAATTGACTATGTTTTTATTATCTAAACAACATAACAGTGAAATATATATATATATATATATATATATATATATATATATATATATATATATATACAGTACCAGTCAAAAGTAACTACTCATTCCAGGGTTTTTCTTTATTTTTTACTATTTTCTACATTGTAGAATAATAGTGAAGACATCAAAACTATGAAATAACACAAATGAAATCATGAAGTAACCAAAAAAGTGTTAAACAAATCAAAATATATTTTATATTTGAGATTCTTCAAAGTAGCCACCCTTTGCGTTGATGACAGCTTTGCACACTCTTGGCATTCTCTCAACCAGCTTCACCTGGAATGCTTTTCCAACAGTCTTGAAGGAGTTCTCACATATGCTGAGCACTTGTTGACTGCTTTTCCTTCACTCTGCGGTCCAACTCACCCCAAACCATCTCAATTGGGTTGAGGTTGGGTGATTATGGAGGCCAGGTCATCTGATGCAGCACTCCATCACTCTCCTTCTTGGTCAAATAGCCCTTACACAGCCTGGAGGTGTGTTGGGTCATTGTCCTGTTGAAAAACAAATGATAGTCCCACTAAGTGCAAACCAGATGGGATGGCGTATCGCTGCAGAATGCTGTGGTAGCCATGCTGGTTAAGTGTGCCTTCAATTCTAAATAAATCACAGACAGTGTCACCAGCAAAGCACCATCACACCATCTCCTCAATGCTTCATGGTGGGAACCACACATGCGGAGATCATCCGTTCACCTACTCTGCGTCTCATAAAGACACGGCGGTTGGAACCAAAAATCTCAAATTTGGACTCAAGGACAGATTTCCACCAGGTCTAATGTCCATTGCTCGTGTTTCTTGGCCCAAGCAAGTCTCTTCTTCTTATTGGTGTCCTTTAGTAGTGGTTTCTTTGCAGCAATTCGACCATGAAGGCCTGATTCACACAGTCTCCTCTGAACAGTTGATGTTGAGATGTGTCTGTTACTTGAATTCTGTGAAGCATTTATTTGGGCTGCAATTTCTGAGGCTGGTAACTCTAATGAACTTATCCTCTGCAGCAGAGGTAACTCTGGGTCTTCCTTTCCTGTGGCTGTCCTCATGAGAGCCAGTTTCATCATAGTGCTTGATGTTTTTTGCGACTGCACTTGAAGAAACTTTAAAAGTTCTTGAAATTTTCCGTATTGACTGACCTTCATGTCTTAAAGTAATGATGGACTGTCATTTCTCTTTGCTTATTTGAGGTGTTCTTGCCATAATATGGACTTGGTCTTTTACCAAATAGGGCTATCTTCTGTATACCCCCCCCTACCTTGTCACAACACAACTGATTGGCTCAAACGCATTAAGAAGGAAAGAAATTCCACAAATTAGAAGGCACACCTGTTACTTGAAATGCATTCCAGATGACTACCTCATGAAGCTGGTTGAGAGAATGCCAAGTATGCAAAGCTGTCATCAAGGCAAAGGGTGGCTATTTGAAGAAGCTCAAATATAAAATATATTTGGATTTGTTTAACACTTTTTTGGTTACTACATGATTCCATATGAGTTATTTCATAGTTTTGATGTCTTCACTATTATTCTACAATGTAGAAAATAGTAAAAAATAAAGAAAAACCCTTGAATGAGTAGGTGTGTCCAAACTTTTGACTGGTACTGTGTATATATATACAGTGCCTTCGGAAAGTATTCAGACCCCTTGACTTTTTCCACATTTTGTTACGTTACAGCCTTATTCTAAAATGAATTAAATAAAAACAATTCCTCAGCAATCTACACCCAATACCCCATAATGACGAAGCGAAAACAAGTCAAGGGGTGTGAATACTTTCCAAAGGCACTGTATTTATATTTATTTATAAATAAAAAAAAATTAAGGTGGGTGAGCTGAGTGCGGAGGACTGGCGGAAGCAGCAAAGCGTGAAATCCACGGATCCCTACTCCACCGACCCGGAGCGGCACCCTGCCCTGCGCATCAACAGCCTCAAGCCCTTCAATGCCGAGCCCCCGCCCGAGATCCTCTCCGACAACTACATCACCCCCTCAGCCATCTTCTTTAAGAGGAACCACCTGCCCGTGCCACAAGTGGACCCGAAATCCTACCGGCTGCAGGTGGAGGGTCTGCCTGGGGGAGCACCTCTGAGCCTCTCTCTGGAGGAGCTGAAGACACGCTTCCCCAAACACACAGTCACGGCCACGCTGCAGTGTGCTGGCAATCGCCGCTCGGAGATGAACAAAGTCAAACAGGTGAAGGGGCTCAACTGGGGCATTGCTGCGATAAGTAATGCTACGTGGAGCGGCGCCAGGCTGAAGGATGTGCTGCTGGCAGCTGGCTATAGGCCAGAGGTGGCCCGGCAGACATGCCACGTTCAATTTGAAGGACTGGACAGTGACGTGACCGGCACCACCTACGGGGCATCTATCCCGCTCAACAAGGCGGTCAGTGAAGAGGGTGACGTGCTGTTGGCGTACCAGATGAACGGAGAAGACCTACCTGCTGACCATGGCTATCCCGTACGGGTGGTGGTGCCGGGAACGGTGGGCGCCCGCAATGTCAAGTGGCTGGGAAGGATCATAGTGAGTGAGGAGGAGAGCAGCAGCCACTGGCAGCAGAATGACTACAAGGGCTTCTCCCCCGCCACTGACTGGGACACGGTGGACTTCAAGTCGGCCCCAGCCATCCAGGAGCTGCCCATCCAGTCGGCCATCACCCAGCCAGCGGAGGGAGCCGTGGTGGAACGCAGCGCAGAGGAGGTGACGGTGAAGGGCTACGCCTGGAGCGGGGGCGGACGGGAGGTTGTGCGTGTCGATGTGTCTCTGGACGGGGGGCGGACCTGGCAGGTGGCGCAGCTACAGAGCAGTGAGAAGGGGCAGGTCCCGGCCCCCTCGCCCCCACCCGGCAGAGCCTGGGCCTGGAAGCTGTGGGAGCTGACAGCCCCGCTGCCCCCCGCGGCCCAGGAGCTGGAGATTGTGTGCAAGGCGGTGGACAACAGCTACAACATGCAGCCAGACTCAGTGGCGCCTATCTGGAACCTGAGGGGAGTGCTGAGTAACGCCTGGCACAGGGTGAAAGTCACAGTCAAGGAGGATGAGGAAAAGGAGGAAGAGTAGAAACTGTTGTGATCTAGGGGGTTGTGTTCAAGTCTTAAAGAGTGTAGAGGGAAACGGATGATGATGTTTTAACCTGGCCCTCTCCAGACAGACGACGTCAAACCCACTCAAGCTCAGTGGGGGAACTGACCGTACCACAGGTGCTGTGTGTGTGTGATGCCCTGACACTAAAGACCCCTCTGTTGTCTTGTTGCACAGCAAAACAGATAATTCTGTTCAGTGGAGATGGAAAAATGTAAATAGGCATTCATCTGTGCGTAGCCAATGTTGAGCGCTTAAAGAACATTATGTGGCCAGTTGGGTTAAAAAGAATCCCAAACGCACCACAAAACAAGATAACAGTAACAAATCTGTTGGTGTCAACAGTTGCTCAAGGACAAGCAAAAAACGCCTTGCCAGTGCAGTCCTTTTCATATCCTGAAATCTATTCACTAACCTCTTTGGCTTTGATGACAAGCTTGCTTCCATTTCATGATTTTATATGGGTGTCATTTGCTGGATCCAGAGAATATTCTAATTCTTTGATTTGCATTGTCTTAACTCATATTGATTATAGCAATTGATAAATTGTCTATCATATTACTAATTATTCATTGTGTAAGATCAAAAGCACTTAGATCTTGTAAGTTTCAGCTAGTGTTAGCTGCTGCATTAAGCAAGGTACTACATTGTTTAGATTTTCACAAAATAAAGTTCTCAGTTATATTTTTGAGATAAATTGTTTTGCACACAATGTATGCATTTAAATGAATCAGCGATGCTACTTTTGAAATGTATTTTTTCCCACTGTCAAGTGTGATAAAACATATTTTCACCTATCTGGTTCTAGTTTTCATTTGGAGACAACTTTTTATAAGAAAACAATTTAATCAAATAATTAACAAATTAACATGCTACATGATTGATTACGAGCTTTAAATGAACAAGTGATAAATAAACAACACTTAAAACATTTATCAATAACACATTCATATTAAATATTAAACTTACACTACATGACCAAAAGTATGTGGACACCTGCTTGTCGAACATCTCATTCCAAAATCATGGGCATTAATATGGAGTTGGTTCCACCCCCTCTTGCTGCTATAACAGCCTCCACTCTTCTGGGAAGGCTTTCCACTAGATGTTGGAACATTGCTGCATGGACTTTAATTCAGCCACAAGAGCATTAGTGAGGTCGGGCACTGATTAGGCCTGGCTCGCAGTCGGCGTTCCAATTCATCCCAAAGGTGTTCGATGGGGTTGAGGTCAGGGCTCTGTGCAGGCCAGTCAAAGTCTTCCACACCAATCTTGACAAACCATTTCTGTATGGACCTCGCTTTGCGCACTGGGGCATTGTCATGCTGAAACAGGAAAGGGCCTTCCCCAAACTGTTGCCACAAAATTGGAAGCACAGAATCGTCTAGAATGTCATTGTATGTTGTAGCGTTAAGATTTCCCTTCACTGGAACTAAGGGGCCTAGCCTGAACCATGAAAAACAGCCCCAGACCATTATTCCTCCTCCACCAAACTTTACAGTTGGCACTATGCATTCGGGCAGGTAGTGTTCTCCTGGCATCTGCCAAACCTAGATTAGTCCGTCGGACTGCCAGATGGTGAAGCGTGATTCATCACTCCAGAGAACGTGTTTCCACTGCTCCAGAGACCAATGGCGGCAAGCTTTACACCACTCCAGCTGACACTTGGCATTGCGCATGGTGATCTTAGGCTTGTGTGCAGCTACTTGGCCATGGAAACCCACTTCATGAAGCACCTGACGAACAGTTCTTGTACTGACGTTGCTTCCAGAGGCAGTTTGGATCTCATTAGTGAGTGTTGCAACCGATGACAGACAATTTTTAGTGGTGTGGCCTACCACTTTGCGGCTAAGCTGTTGTTGCTCCTAGACATTTCCACTTCACAGTAACATCACTTACAGTTATAATAATAATATGCCATTTAGCAGACGCTTTTATCCTAAGCGACTTACAGTCATGCGTGCATACATTTTTTTATTATTATTTTTATTTTTATTTTTTTTGTGTATGGGTGGTCCCGGGGATCGAACCCACTACCTTGGCGTTACAAGCGCCGTGCTCTACCAGCTGAGCTACAGAGGACCACAGTTGACCGGGACAGCTCTAGCAGGGGAGACATTTGACGAACTGACTTGTTGGTAAGGTGGCATCCTATGACGGTGCGACGTTGAAAGTCACTGTGCTCTTCAGTAAGGCCATTCTACTGCCAGTGTTTTTCTATGGAGATTGCATGGCTGTGTGCTCGATTTTATACGCCTGTCAGCAACGGGTGTGGCTGAAATAGCCTACTATCTACTAATTTGAAGGGGTGTCTACATACTTTTGTGTATATATATATATAGTGTATGTCCAACTGTTATTCAGCTGTTGTGCAATCATCATGAATTAAGCTTCTGTACCTCTGGCTAGACTCTAGAAAGAGATACATTGCTGGCCCCTGGTGGCCAGATAGCACATGACAAAACGTATACCAGTTTACTGTCTTTGCTAGTGCTAATCTAATGGTATTCATGACATATAACATAAATATACTTGCGGCAAAGATGATCCATTACATAGACAAAATAGTCGACAGACCGCTCTAATAATGGAAAAATTATATTTTACACAAAGGCAGAAGGGGGCGAGATCAGGTGGGAACATTTTAGCCAATGAGAGGGCAGATACGTGTTAACAACAGACACAGCTCCGATATAAAATTGTTTTGCTCAAAATTGCCGGAATGCCACGTGCGCCCTTACAAAAAAGAAACTGCAGTAAAAGTGCAGTAACTGCAGTCAACTGTGGTATTTTGGACGCAGTAATTGCAGAATAACTGCAGTGTACTGCAGTTGAACTGCAGTTATACTGCATTGTAACTGACAAAATTACTGCAGTAAAAAAAAACTGTGTTATTTTGGATGATGTATTTGCAACATACTGCACTTATACTGCACACTGACTGTACTCTTATTTTGTAAGGGTGTCCACTTATATCAGTACATTTGTAACAACCTAAACATTATGAAACTTTTATTCCATCAAATAAGCCTCACATAGCAAATTATCAATGACATTTTTTGTTGACCAAATTCGCAGAATTTGTTATAGGAAATAACCACTGCCACCTGGTGAGGTTAGCATAAGGCTAACGTGTGCCAGGTTATCTGATGGGACCAGCTACAATGTACAGTAGCATTCTATCATGTGCAAGTAAATATACAAATGTAATTGGCTGATCCCCATTTTGAGATGGATGTCTAGGCATAGCCGCAGGAAGTAGGGGTGCTGAGGATGCTGCTAAAAACAAAATATATATACATTCACAAAAAGTAGTGCACTGTGCCTTTATTACTCCTGTAAAGCAGACCAAAATAGCCTTCAGCAGTGCAGAGAGAAATTATGACTAACAACATCAGAATATAGGTCAAGTTTAAGAGCTCAACTAGATAACTGTCACCACTGAGATACTAACACACAAGGAAAAGCAACAAGTAGGTAATACTGAGTAAATTAGTGATATGTACATCCCAAAAGTTCACTGGTGCTTTGCCAAAAGACAGTCCAGGTTGAATTAAAGCACAGCATATGCTGTGGGTGAGCTTCCTTTCTTTATGCAAAATGACTAATAGGAAGAAACCAATGCTACATAATTAAAAATGACTTCCTGTATATACTGTATATGTATGCAGGGATGACCAAAGATTATCTATTATATTGACTGCTCTAATGCCGCATTTCCATGGAGACTTCCCCCCACACCAGTGTGCTGCCAGCATTTTATGTTAATGTAAACTCTAGTGTAATTGTGTTTTCAGAGCTAGGGCTGACAGTGAGACTTGTTAAGAGCAGGGTCAACATCCTCAATCAACAGCCTGCCCCATAGATGGAAACAGAAAAGTCTGAGCCTTTTGGGTAAAACACTGGGGTAAATCCTGTGTGGAAATGCACCATAACAATGGAAACACATGTCCTCAAAGATGGAAGACACTCAATAGCTAGCGTTCCATCCAATTGGCGACAGATTTTCATGCAAATATTCAAAAATCCACATAAAGAAAATATGCGAATTTTCCCACCAGTGGTGTTTCCACCAAATAGACTAAAAATCAGTGCGTGTTGAGGTAGTGCACACAAAATGTACTTTATCGCTTACATTTTCATGTACCGAATAAAACAATCCAAAGATCAATGTGTTTCCATCGCATGTTCAACTCTGCTGATAGTTTTGTCACAAAAACTTTTGCATTAAATAGCAAATGTGCCTACTCTGGTCTTGGCACTTGCTCTCTAGCCAACAGCTAGCAGATACAGTGCGGGTAGGCTGGTCTACATTATGAGATTATTCTGGGTAAGAGCGAGTCAAAAGGCAGTCAAGCATCGATCATCATGTCACCAGAATCAGATCCTCAATATTTATTGGAAAAGAGCATCAAGATCATCGTGCACTTTCATCACCCTGTGAAGTTCTCAGAAATTATTTAATCTATAGCCTAATAAAGTGCATGGTTTCCCGAGTCTTAGTGGGAGGACCACACAACATATAATCGCGTAATATGATGGTTATTATATCAATATATGCGCATTAAAGGCATTTCCATTGCCATTTCTCGCATATAGTTGAAGTCGGAAGTTTACATACACTTAGGTTGGAGTCATTAAAACTTGTTTTTCAACCCCTCCACACATTTCTTGTTAACAAACTATAGGTTTGGCAAGTCGGTTAGGACATCTACTTTGTGCATGACACAATACATTTTTCCAACAATTGTTTACAGACAGATTATTTCACTTATAATTCACTGTATCACAATTCCAGTGGGTCAGAAGTTTACATACACTAAGTTGACTGTGCCTTTAAACAGCTTGGAAAATTCCAGAAAATGATGTCATGGCTTTAGAAGCTACTGATAGGCTAATTTACATCATTTGAGTCAATTGGAGGTGTACCTGTGGATGTATTTCAAGGTCTACCTTCAAACTCAGTGACTCTTTGCTTGACATCATGGGAAAATCAGAAGAAATCAGCCAAGACCTCAGAAAGAAATCAGCCAAGACCTGGTTCATCCTTGGGAGCATTTTCCAAACGCCTGAAGGTACCACTTTCATCTGTACAAACAATAGTACGCAAGTATAAACACCATGGGACCACGCAGCCATCATACCGCTCAGGAAGGAGATGTGTTCTGTCTCCTAGAGATGAACGTACTTTGGTGCGAAAAGTGCAAATCAATCCCAGGACCTTGTTAAGATGCTGGAGGAAACAGGTGCAAAAGTATCTATATCCACAGTAAGATCGTACTTTTTGGAGAAATGTCCTCTGGTCTGATAAAACAAAAATATAACTGTTTGGCCATAATGACCATCGTTATGTTTTTGAGGAAAAAGGGGGACTTGCAAGCCGAAGAACACCATCCCAACCGTGAAGCACGGGGGAGGCAGCATCATGCTGTGGGGGTGCTTTGCTGCAGGATGGACTGGTGCACTTCACAAAATAGATGGCATCATGAGGAAGGAAAATTATGTGGATATATTGAAGCAACATCTCAAGACATCAGTCAGGAAGTTAAAGCTTGGTCGCAAATGGGTCTTCCAAATGGACAATGACCCTAAGCATACTTCCAAAGTTGTGGCAAAATGGCTTAAGGACAACAAAGTCAAGGTATTGGAGTGGCCATCACAAAGTCCTGACCTCAATCCTATAGAAAATGTGTGGGCAGAACTGAAAAAGCGTTTGCGAGCAAGGAGGCCTACAAACCTGACTCAGTTACACCAGCTCTGTCAGGAGGAATGGGCCAAATACTAATTGAGTGT